CTCCTGTCTCTCATAAAAGCACAGACTGCCCTGGCTGTTTGTCCGAAGTAGATTTATTGCCAGTAAACCAGAGGGGACAGATAACTCTGGAAGATGACAACCTCTGTTTATCCCAAGAACTGAACTTGACACTGGATGTAAAGTGACAGTAAAACCTTGCCCCCTCAGAAGCTGTTGACTGCTCATGGATTTCAACACATCCTTAAGAAAAGTCGCATCACCAGGCAAAGAGACAGCTCAGGCTTTAGACCCACATAATCTTCATCAATCTCAGAGCAATCAACAGAAATGACAGTAGTACAAGCTCACTCTTTCATCTAGGTGGGAATGATCTTGTTATCTGTGGTCAAATCATAGTCTGCATGGCAAAAGAGAATGATAAATCTACCAAGTCTGAATGACTGAAGATCCAAGTACACATTCTGAAAATTGCAGAGCATAAAAAAAAGCAAAGCAAAATAGTATCACTGATGTTTTTTCATCTAGTCCCAAGATTATTATTTTTTTTTTAAATGGAGTCTAGTCCCCAAGGAAGCCACATAGATTTTTGATGTGTTACACTTTGATTCTAAGTTTTCTCTTTCAGCATGAAAAAAGCAGAGGACATATGGGAGTCCAGGCAGCAACTCCTGAATCCCTTGCTGCTGAAGGTTACATATCTCTGTTATACAGCACATTGGTACCAACAAAACACCAAATCACTGACTTCATTGCTCAGAAGATGGGTATTTAAGAAATATATACTCACCTTTATAACCTCCTGTTCTCAAAAACTTCTAATATCACAGCTGATATTGAAGAGATGGCAGCTCTCCCTTTCTCCCATTGTCTCCTTTTACATTTACAACCCAATAAATTTGAATTGGCATGCACAGGTGCCATTTCCCATGGTTCCTATCAATTTTAACATTTTGAATCCTTGCTATTGTTTTACAGCCCACAAATGACTCAAGGTGGCAATTACCTCTCCTTTTGAGGTAGTCAAACTTTTCTTCCCACTTCTAGAACTGCTCTACTACATAGACCCATAAAATCCCCAGATTTCTTTAAACAAAATACAAAAGAAAGGGGAAAGAGGTGGAAAGAGGAGTAGGATGCATTTCCCCATGCTTCTTCAACACATGTTCTAACAAATAATTTCTGTGTAACAAACAAGCACTTTTCCTAACTGCCCTGTTCCTCATCTTCCTTGTAGCTGAGTTGGATCAAAGCTTATACTTGCTCCATAATTCCAGTAGCACTGTGACAATAGAATACAAAAGCATAAAGAACAGGACAGCTGTCAAACCATCATGGAGTAAAGTAACACTCCTCAACGGACAACCTTTGATTCCACAGAGAAAGTGAAGTATCACCAGATTTGAAGTTTCACTACTGAGCAGATGAAGGGTGAAATCCTTTCTGACATCATCCTGCTGTGAGATTTTAAGCATGAGATTAGATTTTCTGTTTTCCCACGTACAGCTTGGTACGCAAAATATGTTTCTGATTATCCAGCCTGTATATGTCATTCATGCTTTTCATGCACCACTGAATTCCAAAGGTTAACTATAATATTTCATGGAAAGTAGCACAAAATTATGATTTTAATGCAGGAAGAAGATTAAATTAGGACAAAAAAAAGTCCCAAAACATCTGGAACAGTGTCAGCCAGTTTAGTAATAATCACTCTCCTTTTGAGAAGCTGTTATGAGTAGAACAGACAAGGAAAGGTGAAGAGGAGAGGAAGAAGCCACATCTCTGAAGCACATAGTAAACTGCCTTGTAGATGAAATACAATATTCTTTAACCACTGCTGTTAGGTTTGTTTGGCTGGGGTAGGATGGGATGAATGGGATTATTTAGAACGTGCAGCTGAATTTCAGATAGCTCTAGTGCCCCTGGTAAGCGACATAAGGACGTCCAAATAAAGGAAACAAAAACACAGGAGAACATATGGCAAATTAATGAAGAGGTGAAAAAACACTTCAAATGCAGGAAATATTCATTAATATTTAAGGCAACATCTTTAAATTCCACAAATGGTTGGACATCTGCTTAACTTCTTCCAGGACCAGTGAGGAAAAAGCAGCGAGTCACTCAGTCTCAACTATTGTGGATGGAGTAAACTGTTCCATTCATCTAGAAGTAAGACCGGGAATGAAGTGCTCAGCAAAAAGAACTGATTTTAGAAGTCTAGAACTAAGGAGGAGCTGATCCGAAGTTTAAATGGGTTTACTTTCAAGGAGGGAAAGAAGGTCAAACGTAACAACTTCTTCCATGCTCCAACTCTTGGATACATACTGTATCCTAGTAGAAGTGGGCCCCTAACATGAAGTCCTTTCTGAGAATTGACTTAGTCTCTTCAGAGCATTTGACAGCCTGACCCAACACTGACAGATGGACTACTTAAGTCTTAACCACTTCCCTACCTTTTGTACCTTTTCTCTCAGGCCCTCTCACCAACCCCTTTTTTGGGGGGGGTGACAGGGGGAAGGCCCTCTTGTTACATAAAAGATTGTGATGAAAGCTGCAGTTAGTACGGGAGCTAAAGATACTCCGTGGAAAATGAATAAGCATACTGGTACATTGTCATTATCCTGACATTTCATTCTTCTCACAGTTGTGTGCAGTACATCAGCCCAGAAAACAGATTTTACACACAAGGCAGCAAGAAGGTTTCTGACTTTGCCAAATACCTTCCAGGGAAACACAAGCTGCCACTACAGATCCTACCAGACCTTCAAGATCAATGAAGAGCTGCTTGTTGTTTCCAATAAGTCAGAAATGCAGCAATTGCAGAAGAGCAAGAAAAATAAACCAGACCGTCACAAGATAAAAAGAAGGGGTGTGCGGAGCTTTAACTCCATGAGCTCATTTGACTTTTGAGACACTCTTGGGTTCTCTTCTTCCAGATATCACCCACAAAATTCTTTGCCAAAAGACATGGTCCTACAGGACGCATCAAAACACGAAACCGGTTTCTGTGACAGCTATCATCTTGTCCAGTGCACCGTTGCTTGAGTGGTAGACTTCAAGAGCTGAAACCTTAAGTTTGTACAGCACACAAGGTTTTGTAATGCAAAAGGAATGTGACCCTTCAGCTAACAGGATAAAGAGGTTACTTAGCTGTACTATCCTAAACAAATCCCATAGCTGATAATTTAAAGAATTATAGGAATAAAACTAATAGGCAGAGATATAGTAATTCTAGCCTTAGGTCTTGAACTGCTTATTTTTTTAGCAGTGCTACACACTATTAAACACCAGCCACTATCAGTCTCAAGGATGCCTGAATTTCAGTTTATGACTCCTATATATGGCCTAAGAATGTTTTAGGATTCTCCAGGTCCAAAAATAAAAAGCTGCCTTACCCATCACTGGAATGCAGGTAATTGTAAAATGTGATAGGTTTGTGCTGTGAAGCACAGCGAGACTGAATTATGCTTCAGCACATAAGAGGAACAGTGTGGCCAAGGAAGTTCAACGGCTTGCTCAAACTCAATAAATGGAGGTGGCAGTAGAACCAAGACAATAAAGAATATTATGTTTCTGCTAAAAATTCTGAATCTTAATTTGTGGTATGGAATAGGGTACCGAATACAGATAACAAATACAGACCGGATGCAACAATGTCACCCATTTGTACTGGTACTGGTCTGTCTTAGGTGGTCAGTAAGAGGACACTAAATCAAAGAACTACACTGGGTGCAGGAGATGTGAGCACCATAGCTCTACTAATGGTCCAGAGTCTTCTGGGAAAGCGTTAAGATTCTGTTCCTAAGCAACAGACAGAACAACAGGTTAGTCTATTGAGAGGTCCTCTGAAGGAGAAAAGATACTAGAGATAACATGCAGGCTGTATAGCCAACAGATTAAGCTAATTTTAAATAGAAGAATTACCAGAAATCACTAATATTAAAGAACTTTCAATGCACTGAGGATAATCAGAAAAAACATTTTCAAAAAACCTAAATGGATTTTTTTTTTTGCAGGGGTTTGAAAGGGCCAGTCGAAACTGGCAAGTTAACAAATGGTTACAGGGATGGTTCCACAGCCAGGGGTTTGACTGCTTAGACAAGCGGCGAGGCTTCAGCATGACGTAACCTGTAATCTTGACACAGTAGGGAAATATGATCAAGGAGTAATTTCCCTTTATGAAGTCCCATCTTGAAGGATCAGTTTGGGGCATACAGCTTCTTCACAAACATGCATACCAGACAACTTCACTGATAAAGCTATCTTCCTCTAGTGACAACAAAACCTTGGGTTTTTTGATGGTGACTACCCAAAGTGCTATGGGAATTGATGCCATATGCATTTTACCTAATCAGTCCTGCTAATACCAATACTCTTTCAATTAATGGAAGCTTAACAGGAACAGTAAACAATTTAAAGAAGCTTCAAGAAATCAGTACTATTTACATGCTTCAAAAGATCACTCATCGTATTTGTTTCTATACTGGCTGGAAGAGAAACTACAGAATGGAAAGGTTTTCCAGACAGCAGTGACAATGCCCCCAGTGCTTTCACTGGAGACCCACCTCCTCAAAAAGAAACTCCTGTTTCAGTCTGATCTTCACTCTTCAGTTCCTTCTACCTCCCATTTCCTCTGCCCCTACTTGGTCTTCAAAATACTTACTTCTGTGGATCCCCAAAATGGGTTCTCTGAAGCACAAGTGAATTGAAGGCTCAGAACCTCTTTCAAAGTATACTGTAACTTGAATGGACTACTACTTACTAGTACTTTTATCAGAGTGGTTTATTAAAGTGCCATCCTTTAAAACTGGAGATACCACCTCATAGGGGACGGAGTATGCAAGAGAACAGATGCTAAGCTGCTTGCAGAAGCTAACTATCCTTAAGCTGCCTTTGGGAGTATTTGGGAGACATAAGTGTAGTCAAAGATGTCATGAGGAAAGCAAATTAATGATATGGACAGTAAGGTGGACAAACAGTGGGTCAGCAATGGAGTAAAAGGGAAGTGCTTGAGAGAGGAACTTCTCTGAAATCAATTATACCTTCGCATCCACGCTCAATTTGCCCACTGCGGTGCAGAGCATCATTGATTAGATCAGGCAGGCGCCCATTCAAGTCCACAGATGCCAGGCAGCCCTGAAATCCATCACGTGAGGCCACCAGCTTTGGGAGGTTGCTATACATGCCTTGAGCTAGGCCAGCAATGTAGAGATCACCTAGAGGAGAGAGGAGTAAACATACAAGGAGAAAGTTACATACCTCGTAGAGTAGCTTCCGCCCACAACCAGACATGAATATAGCAAGCTGAACAGCTGCTCAGAACAAGCTAAAAGCAGAGCAAGATATTGTGCAAGAAGTCATTTCTGCCTCCTTTACCACAAAAAACACCCCACAAATCCCACAAAAAAATCCACCACAAACCCCCAAAAACCCCAAACCACAAAACAACGAAACTCAAGAAAACCACAGTTGTAATTGCATCTTAACTAGAAAGAACTGCAGTATGACAATAAATTTCTGAAAAAGCAAAATACGACAATATTCTGCTACAGGAAGTTGCCAAATGAAAGAGAAAAACGAAATTGAAAGCCAAAATCAGTAAATTCCAGATTTACTGTTCTTTAACAGAGTTTCTGCAACCTTTCTCTTGTTTACTGGTTGAGCCCTATAGGAACAAAGGGGGAAACTATCAGTTTTGAAGAATTTACCTTTGAGATCCAGATTTTTGGCACCATTGATAACCTGAGTGACCACCTTAGTGTCCACCTTTAGGCTGTGTGTGTTACTGTTATCTCTGGTGATGACAACATTGTGCCATTGGTTGTCATTAAGAGGACGATCACTGTTGCCTTTGATAACATTAGGTCCGTTTCCAAGGTCGAACACATAGTGTATGTACCTGTAAACATAGCAAGAACTAGTTAAAACTGTGTAAGAAATTCCAGCACTACTGACACTTGCTCTAGCCTGAGTTGATAAATTAACTTACAGAAGTCATGAAGTGAAGCATCTCTGCATTAGAAATTCTAGTAAGACAAAATATAAGCCTATGATTTGAAAAGATATAGTTGTTTCCTTTCCACCAAGAAAGTGTAAGAATTAGTATTTTGAGATCACAACATTTGGAGTAATCAGATTCTAACCACGAAGCATTGCTCTTTTTCACAAAGTTCTTGCAGATCCACAAAACCGCTGTCAGTGCATATAGTTATTTTTTTAAATTGGCAATATCAATACGTGTACTGGAGAGCAACACTAGATGTGCTTATTTGGGCCATATATTCCCTAGATTAATTTTGAGTTTTGAATAACTCCCTTAAGAAGTTAATTGGGAAACTCACTCAAAATATTGTAGTAAAATTCACATGAGATTCTAGACTTATTCAAACAGCTGGAAAACAATTAGTAAAGCTTTCGGCAAAAAATAAAGACCTTAACGAAGACTGAAGTCATGGGAGTGTTACCCTGAATTATTTATATAGTTCAAACACAGAAATCCACCTGAGAATAGAAGAGAGATATTCTACTTAGAAAGGAAAAAAAAAGACAACAAAATTCAACTCTCAACAGAGCACAGGAGCTCATGACTCTTTCTTTTTTTATTACTCAATGTCCCACTTACAGAAATATGTGCAAAGTTAAAAATAAAACAGATTAAACTACAGTTGTACTGAAATAAACAGGACTAGAAAACTGTACTTATGGAAAACATGTCTAATGTGACTAGATGAGTGTAGAGATCAAAATTTGGTCAGCTAACAAAGGATTATTTTTTTTAAGAAGCTATTGGCTTTGAGAAAAGAATATAGCGGCTCGAAAGCAAGCTGAATTCACTTTTCCTCAAGCATCACAAGCAGAAATACAAATTCAGCAGCCCATGTACTCCTTTTTTTCCTTCAGTGAAGGTACAGAAACACAATGGGTCCGCTGCAGGAAAAAAAAAATAAAAGGAGGAAGAGAGACTCAGAGCCCTCAGCACATTTCATCTTCCTCTGTGCTACTCAGCAAGGGTAACAGGACAAAACTGTAGGTTAATTAGATCCAAAGAACTCAAAACATTAATGTTTCACACTGTAGAACTATCTTTCCCTCAGTCACAGGGCAAGTCATTGATAAAAATTAGGAAACTTCAGTGTTTATGTCTAAGTGTTTTGTCATAACACCTCAGCAAACAGAAAACATGAGTATGAGATGAATTTCTGTTTATGCAAGCATTTTAAGTTTACCTATAAGTAAGTTTATCTATAAATAAGCCAGTAGAATATAGCAGAAAGTCACTTACCCCTTAACTAGTTCAACTGCAATAAAGTCATTGCCGTCACCACTGTTAAAGAGGATGAAACCATCAGCTGAGGTGGTCTTGAACTGAAAGAAGAGGTGCATGGATGTATAAGCCTGCAAGGTGGCCAGACTCAGGTAGCTGCTCTTGGTCTTGAACGTCACAGGGTCAGCTATAATGTTACGGAGACCAAAGCGTGCCTTCAGCTCACAGTAGTCAATGTCACCATTCTTGCACAGGTCAATGTAGAGCATCCCATTGAACATGAGGCTCTGGAGGTGGCCAATGAAGCTGGAAGGGATGACAGAGATGTACCGTTTCTCTGTCATGATCCCTGTCTCGATGTTGTGGAACTCCAAGCGGGTGTGATCACCAACCATGGTGCCTGAAGGACAGAAACAAGGAGGAACATACAGAAAGCCCAGCGATCAGTAGCAGGTTATATGGAGCTCTTCACCCTCCAGTTTCCAGGCTAATTGCAGTACTAACTAATCCTATCTGATCACTGGTCATCGGCTTGCATAAGAAAAAAAAAGTAGAGACTCTTGGTGGAGAGGCTTGAGTCTAGCAGTTGTCAAAACTTGGCAGAAGAGAGAAGACAGGACTAAAGGGCCATGGGCAGAAAGCTTTGTATTTTTCTCTGCATTTCACAGACTTTCTTGTCTGCAAAAAGAGCGGTGTCTCTCCCTCAAAGCCTACAGTGATCTATTTGATCCAATGATCTGCCAAACAATTCAGACACCTCTGAAACAACTCTTAGAAATGTGCTTCCTGAAAACACTCAATAAACATAGATTAATATAAAAAGATCAGAACAAGAAGCAAGAACAGTAATAAACCTGCTAATATTTATTTCATTGTTCTCTCTTGATGCCTGATGTTATTTCACAGTAGGAGGAAAACACACAGGAATGCAACAGGCAAAGAGCCCTCCATATATTTAAATCATCAACCTACCACTTGGGCTATTCGCCACATTGTGATAGATTTTAACCTCTCAATTAAAACATTCAAGCTATCCAGTGTATCAGCTATGTCACACTACTCGTTAAGCATACTTAAACGTTTCAGTAAGCATGCTAGGCTTCAGTACGGACACAGAACCCACACAGACAGATGAAACATAACTGTATGCCAAAAGACTAGTTTCAGTAAAAAGACAAGTTGGGGAACATCAGAATGAAAACCATTACAAACAATCTTATTTTACTCCTCTCTAGTTCTTCATTAAGATAGATTTAACTATTTGATCACACAAGTAAGCCTCCTTTCTACACAGGCCTCATGCCATTTAGCATACGACAGGAATAATATTAAGTTCAGGAACAATTACTCAACACTCAATTGTTTTCTCATCATCCAACGTACAACCAATTCTTCAAACTCTGCTACAAATACGCTGTTACTATTTCTCTCAGGAAATTTTCTGCAGCATTGTACTGAGTTTATGTGGCGAGGTGCGGGCTGCAGGGCCCCCGTGAGGAGAGGAGGCCGGTTCCAGCCGGCTCCAACAGACCCACCACAGGGCACAGCTGAGCCCCTCAGCCAAAATGATGATGTCTCTGTTGAAACATTGAAGAAAGGGCAAAAAGTTGCCAAACAGTAAATACCTGTCCCAGTTTGAAGTACAACCAGACCAATTTTGTGTTCTATAACTTTACATTTTAGCTAGGCCTCCTCTTACTCTCTGAAATTAAGGGCATATTGTGGAGAAAACTGTTCTCAGAATGATAAGACCAATGTTTGTGCTACATGCCAGGAAATGGTATGCAGAGAGGCCCTTGCTTATACTTATTGCTATAACAACCAAGGCCAGACAATTTCTGTTATTTGCCCCTTAGAGGGTCAGAAATGGAAAAACGTAGAGGAGTCACATCTGTGGGGAGGAACGGACAGGACCCAAACCTGACCAACTAGGGTGTTCCATCCTATCTGCCCCATGCTCAGTAGAAAAGCTGAGGAATCAAAGGGTCAACTCTCTTCCTGCAATGGCTGACGTCCGAAGAGGACCCTGTCTGTTCATCTGCCTTTGATCCTGATCTGAGTGTTCCTGACTCCAGAGCTGGAATCCAGCGCCCATCCGTCCCTGAGTCCAGTCTGAGACTTTCCAAGTGCCTGCCAGTGACACGACTGTCATCCTGGGAGCTTGATACGGTTTTGTATATATTGTATCTATTTCATTATTTTCTCCTCTTTCTTTTTTATTTTAATATTAATTCTTCATTAAAGCAGTTTAGTTCATTCTAAACTCCTCTTTTGGGGGGGGAGAGCCATCTGTCAGGACCAAACGGGGGGAAAAAAAACCAAAAACAGACCCCCAAACCCTCAGAAAGTCTGCAAACACCAATGTCAGAAGAGGTGCACCATGGTGATAATTCTCTGTCAGCCCAGGGAGCAGATCCTGAGGGAAGAGACAGCCACGCTGCAGCCCGCGGAAGACACCTATGCCACAGCAGGTGGATGTTTCCGGAAGGAACTGCAGCCCACAGAGAGCCCACACTGGAGCAGGTTTCCCTGAGGGCTTGTGGAGAGGACCCGTGCTGGAGTGCTTCATGAAGGATTGCTGCCCATGGCAGGGACCCACACTGGAGCAGGGGAGAAAGCACAAGGAGGAAGGAGCAGCAGAGAGGAGCTGATACAGGCTGACCACAGCCACCATTCCCCATCCCGCTGCAGCACTTATAAGAAACGTGGATGATACATCCTGTCTTGTGGTATATAAAGAGTCAGGCCAAGTGAACTGATAGTCTTCCTGATTGTGTACAAAGTGCAATTTTTATGTTTATACTTTGTCCAAGTGTAATCAAGTTTTCACAAAGATAGCAAAGAAGCACAGCAGTTACTAGAAAAAAATAAAAAAGGTTTTCAAGTATCTATTCCAAACACAAAGAGAAAATATTATGCAAAGCTATTTCTTCTTTCATTTATTCCCGATTTTAGCAGTGGATCCAAATTTAAAGACAATTAATACAAAGACCATTGACATGGAAAGCTTCAGCTCAAGCAGATACAGCTGGAAAAACTTACAAGCAGCTGAAAAGAGTCACATATTTCTGACTATTCAGAAATTTAAGTGTCAATTCTAATGCACATTTTTAAATCTTGAAACAGTTTTTTACCAGAAATAATATTATTTTAGTTTGAAAAATGCCAGTTCACAGGAACTGAAACTATATATAGGAAACTTTGTTTAGACAAAACATCTCACTTCCACTATTGTGATTATTAGGGGCTCTTTCAGTTTTAGCGTTATCAAACAAAAAATTCTTGTTTCTCCAAACAAGAAGAATTGCATTTTCTTAAAAAAAAAAAAAAAAAAACAATCACTTTTTAAAGAAATCCTGCTTCTTTAATTCAAAAGATTAGAAAAATAATATGTAGAAATATCAAGGATCAAGAGCAAGAAAACTCCTCTCCTCAGCTCTTCTACTAAATAAATGCAAATAAGTTGTTGCTGGAGTAGGAAAAAAAGCCAAGCCTGTAACCTGGAGTACACTGGGACAGGGAACATAGATACAGCAGGACATTAGAAAAGGTGTGAGGGAAGTTGGAAGGAGTGATCTCAGAATTTTAAAGAAGGTGAAAAATGAGAAAACTGAGGCTGGCTTAAGAGAAATAGGACAGTGATAACAGTGGTAAAGCAGAAAGTTCTGAGCAGTTCAGTGAAAAACTGAACAGGACATTTACAAAACAAGACCAGAACCAGGACAGAGATGCATTTTCTTAAGAAATCACGGAGTGAAGTCCAGTATTTTCTGATCTCATTAGCTGTCAGCCCCACCTGCAGAGTTCACCTCTATTTCCTCCACTTTGCTCTGTAGAGAGTATTGTAACTACTACAGCAATCAGCAGCTCTTTAGTTCAAGTGGTAGCAGACAGAAAAAAAAAAAAATATCCAGCCTCCACTGCGGTATTTGGGTGCAAGATTGTGGGGAGGAAAACGACTGCTATATTTGTGTCTCATTTATCACTGATGTTCTGAGGTCTGTTCTGAGGTGGGAGTGGGAATGTAAGAGGAGAATTTTTTGATTAAGCAGCAAAATGCTGTCCAGAGAAATGGATTTTGTCTCTCCCTTCGATGTCCTGCAGGAAGCCAAGTCAGTCACTTCATTATAAATTTTTCACAGGTGGTCATTAATTGTCTAGCCCTAATTTTCCAAGTAGCAAGGTTGAGCTAACAGGATCCAATTTACAGACACACTGAATATTTGTGCATGCAAATGACTGAAAAATCATGCCAAATTGGTATCAAACACATCCAACTTTAATCTGGTACCTTGTTTCCAAACCTGTAAAATGGGAAAAAGATGCCTACTCACTTCATGTAACACAGACATGGGAATAAATCCAGTTACAGCTTCTTAATTCTGTATAAACATATTGATGAGTAGCACACAGCACACACACGCACAAAAACAACAGCTCTATAGTTAGAGCAAAATTTAGTTGGCCCGCATTATTCCAAACAAGCAATAAGAAAGGCGGCAGCAATCAAATAGGTTGTTTATTTTTTCTGAGGACCCAATTTAGACTTCTGATGTATGCCTAAAGACTGCAAGAATCCTGTGGAAAAATCTATGTGACCACATCATTGAAAACTGTATCATATTCCCAAGGAAGTGGGACGCAGACTCACAGAAAATCTTAACTTCGGCTTTTCTGACTTTTGACTTTAACATGATGGCATTCTTTTAACAGATATTTTTAGCTGTAATGCATCTTTAATTATGTAATTCATATACATGTACATATGCACATCCTATTTTAGTATAGAATTGTATCATAGTTATTTATAAACTCAGTTTCATGAAAAAGACTTCAAAAAAAAAAAAAACAGATGGCTTTTTGGGAATTGAGTTGTTAATGCAGACAGTGCCACCTCATGGTGCTTTCTAAAAAAGCATATGCAGAACAACTATTCTCCTTAAATACAGAAACTGGATTAAGTGTTTAACTAATCAGCATGATTAACTAATTCAGAAAGTTCCCTCTTAAACAAAATTTCATTTTCCTACAAGCTAACATTGATCAAGCCTCTACCAATTCCAACAAGGAGAGGGAAAGATTCTTCTTCATATTCTTCTGATTCTTTCTTGCAAATTCTCAGCCTTTACAGCACAACATATGTTTACTTCAGAGAGAAAACACATATCAAATAATTTTCCTGCAAACTCATTTCTTTGGGCTTACTTCAAAATCCTGACTCGTGGCTTTCCAAATAACTTAAGTACCACATTATTTAAAATCAATTGCACTCCCAAAGTAGAAAGGAACTTTTTGCAGAGATAGTATATAGTGTTCTGGCACTGCTTATGGCAGACGTTCCTTCTCATTGCCTTTTGAGTAGAAGCTACTTAGAAGAGAGGACATCAGCATTTGGCAAAATAGCATGGATCACAACTCATAGCAGCATTGCACCCAGGGTTACCACTCTTTGTGATTCTATTACCAGCCTTCAGGCTGCTGGTGTTTTCCTTAAAAACCAGTTCCTACCGTTATATACAGCTACGAGAACTTTAGGCCTTAAAAAAAAAAAGAAAAATAAGTTTCTGGCTCTTGCCATTGTGAGAAATTGGATATGAAAGTATCACCTAAAAAATTGTAAGGAAGAAAAGATAAATCTAATTAATCATTTTAATGCGAATGTTGTAACTTGGGAGACACCAGCTTTCCTGAATGTGATTGATCTTTTCTTTCCCCCTTAAGCTACATTTCTCTACAGAAAGGAATGGGGAAAAAAAAAAAAAAAGAAAAAAAAAGACTGACATGAATATCATGGTATACCTTATGATATGATATACTCTGGTGAGTTAGGGTCCTCTCTAACCTCTAAACCGAAGTTGGGAACAAACTGCTCTATTTGCTTTTTGTTCTGGATGGCTCTGAGCCACGAGCACAGGAACTTGAAAAAACCCCAACACAACAGCAGAGACAGAAATCCATACTCTCTAAAACATCTATCAAATGCAGATTTACTATCAAGGAAAAGCTTCTGCAGAGAAAAAGTTGAGGGAACATTAGTTTTGATTCCATACCATTGGAAAGGGCTGCATCTACACCTCAGGAATGAGGTGTACTCACAGGGTACCCCAAACAGCCTGGCACAAGAGAAAGTCCTTGGGTAGGTGCAAACTCATCTGTCCCCTAATCCCGCATTTCATATCATCATAGCTGTCACAGAAGTTTCTGGTGCTGGCTAAGAACAGTTAGTCTCTCAGAATTGAACACTAGTTTTCAATACAGTAGCGCTAAACACACCAGAAGTGACAGGAAGGGAAAAGAAAAGATACAGAAGAACAGGGAGAAAGGATGTGACGGCAGAAACTGTGAACAGAGATACAAAATAATGACAAAAAACACTCATATATCGCACTTACCCTCAGCAACATCATCATCCACCATCAGCTTGAGGCTCTTTCCTCGCCGGACTACCCGGACAGTGTGCCACTCGTTGTCATTGAGTTTCTGCCCAGCATAAAGAGTTTCAGGTCCCTTGCCTGGGGATGGTGATAAGTACCACAGTTAAAACCAGACACCCAGTTAGTTTAGCGTTTGCTCAATGGGAGAAGTCACCAAAATCAACCTGGTGTGATACAGACTATTAGACTGTGTAGGTGTATTATAACCTGCAATCAACCCTCACACCTACACCTTCCTGGCTCAGAAGAAGCAGGGGTCACAAGCCCTTCCACTCAGTGAAGCACCTTCCTCCGCAAAGCCCAGAGGTCACATGCATTTAATACAGGGGTAGAAATCCCTCTCATGTAATGGCACTCATTTCCAAACATCACATTATACAAGGCACTCCAGTATTAGAAAAAAAAGCCAGTGACAGAAATGTCTCTAGAGCGGAGCCAGAATTTTGCTGTCCCAACAATCTGGACTTACAACAGCCCCAAGGTGCTTAGGATTCTCTTCAGAGTTAATCACGCTGATCTCTCAACACTTGGGTATCAAACACCAGGCTGGTTTCAGCCTTTCAGTCTCCCAAAAAAACCAAACAAACAAAAAACCAAAACAATACAAAAAAAACCAAGCAACAAACGACACCCAGCCAATAAAAAGAAAACTCACAAAACTTCAACCCCCACCCCCCAAAAAATAATGATGTTTTTTTGGTTTTTTTTTTAAGTTTAAAACCATAGAAAGACAACCACTCACCAACCTGGCTGCTTGCTCTATGGTTCTTTGACAAAGCAGCCTGCCTACAAGGCACTTACTTCACCCCCTGAGTTACAGGTCAAAAGGAAAAGAGAAGCCTTTTCTTCTCCAAAAGGTAAAAACACAGTTGCCCTTGCAAACAATGCTCCTGGGGAAACAGCATTAGTGTACCCATATTTGTCCAGTTTTGCTGCTCACCCATCACACTTGACAGGCAATTACTTAAAATATTAATTGTTCAGATTACAAGACTGGAATGCCTCACTTATGTCAAATGGTAAGTGAAATTGAATAATGGTGTGTGCTAAATTAAAAGCAACCATGCTCATTTCAGTAGTGTACTAGAGTGTTTTTTGACACATGTATATCAGAGAAATGCAGAATGAGGACAGCAGAACTTATTGCATGTCAGGTCTGGGCCCATTTCCCAAATTAGCCAAAAGGGGAACCCAGGAAAGAAAAAGTGAGACACATGAGACACATTAAACATATTAAAAGAGGTAGACAGGGACAACAAGAGACACTGCTACAGCTCAGCTTATTTTAAAACTTATGCCAGATGTGCAGATTATTTCTCTATGTTTGTTCAACACAAGCAAATCTTTTTTATTCATATCTCTCAAGAACAGCATTTATTTTGACCATTTTTCAATGGAGTGGCTACAGAACACAGAATAAGATGTTGTACATGTCTTCATGGGAAACTTTGCATAAGGGGATGCACCCACTCTGATCTGTGTCCTGGTGGGGACTAACAAGAGTAGCATCATTTCATAGTGAGACAGAATTGAAGGAAGGGGTAGGAAAAATACCCAGGGATTTACATAGCGTACATAGTCCACAGGTTGCACGTTGCCTAATTAGCAACATTAATGTAACTGCTTCTGACTGAGGGGGAAGATGGGCAAAGGTGGTGGTGTCACATTCAGCTAATATGTAATACATGTAGTAGGGGAATCCTATAGAAGGAGACCAAAGAAAATGAATAATGTTATTCTCCTTAAAGAACCATACAGTTCACATTAATAAAAAAGGGAGTTTAATACCCTTTCAAATAAAGCCCATTGCTAGCCAATTTTACTATAGAGCAAGAGGAAAAAAGGTATTTCGACCGCGATGTGAAAAATAACCTCAGCAATTCCTCACCCTTGTGCAAAAGTCACACTGTAGCACAAGCGTAAATCCAGCTATACCAGGCAGCTAGATCATGGCCAGAAAGCTTAAGTTCTTTGGAACCAGACAAGCAAAACTCTATTAAATAGAGTCCAAGAAAGTTATGCTAGATTTATATCAGTGGGTGAGTACATTTTATCCTAGAGCACATATCACAAAATAACATCTCTTGATGGCCAGCAAAATGATTGCCTACATCAAAATATACTGCATCCGTTACTAGAGTTCCACACAGGCACTTGCCAGGTAGGAAGACAGTGACATTCATCTGGATCTGTGTGATTTTATAATACCACCTGAAAGCATGCCGGGGTGGGGGGAGCAAATACTTATTGAAAAAAACCCAGCATTTTTCCTTTTTAACCCAAAAAGCAGCAAAATCACACCCCCATGTTTCAATTGACAGTGTGCAAATAAATTGCTGCTCCCTGGATAAGGTCCCACTGAATTCTGAGTGGTTCCAGGAACTGTGTGTGTATAGAGAGACTCCCACATCTGGATGCCAAACTTCATTTCATTGAGGATGATTACTACATGTCCTGTTACTATATAGACATTCATGTGAGATCAATTTTTAAACAAACACTTGAAGATGCCCAATCCAACAGCAGGAGATGCTGGGGAAAATAGAAAGGAAATGGACCACATGTAGTAAAAAGATAATGTTCTAAGTACGATCTCCTACCCACTAAGGTATTTCTGTGGTCTTACAGCTAAACACATAGAAGAAAAAGTTTAGACCAATGTTGCTGGGCTTGGTGGTGTGTTTTTTTTTCTTCTCTCCTTTCAAGCTATCTGCACCTACATCACTCTTCAATAATAATAATGCAGATGTAGAAGGAAACAAAACAGGTGGCTATCTGGACAGACAAAAAAAAGTCAAAGATTTGTATCTCCCCTTCGTGTGACAGCTTTTTTATGATAAAAGACAAGGAAAGACAAGCAACTACCCCAGCAATGTTACGAGCTGGACACCAGGAAACACTCTATAATACTTTTGATGAGATGGCAGTTGGGCATTAGGTAAATTTTGCAATTTAATTAATTTTTACAAGCAAGAAGAACAAAAGACAACATAACAGGAGAAAGAATAAGAAAGTTTCTACTGTAGCAATAACTTAATGGTTACGCTTCCAGAGCATGACTCCTGGTGGTGTCTCTTGCCTTCTCGGTCATCGCATACCCCTTCCTAATGTCCTCTGAGGAACTGTACATCATACAGAATTGACCACTACCTCTCAAATGAGGCAGAGCAGTCCTTTGGTGTTTTGTGGTAGCAAACACTACTTAATCAGAAGCAAAAATATTATTTAAGCTGCAGTTCAGGCTTCTTGAGCAAATATTACTTGATTCAGCTACAGCGAGTCGTCCTCATGCTCTCATGAATCTTTTGACACCTACTCAGAACCTGTGTGCCTATTGGTCATAAAAACCAACTAGTATATGCTTTCAAACATGGAAGAACTCCATCCAATCTGCCCAGGATGTCCCAATCATTATGTCTATATAAAAAGTGCACTGCTGATAATTAATAGCTTGGTCCAAAAAAGGCTATATAAAAGTGCCAAGAATAAACATGCCAAAGTATAAAGAATCAAGAAGTAGTTCACGCCTTCTGAAAATGCCAAGTTTCTTTCCACCTGGCCCCCAAGAACTTGCTCATTTAGAACAAACAACTGGTCAGAGGGATGCAGTTAAAGCAATAGCTTTGAAAACACCAGCTGTTGTCTACCCTCAGTGCTTAACAGCACAGAGAATTTCCCTCCTACAAAAGGCAAAGGAGAAAGAAGGTTAATCCCCTTCACCACTTCCTCACAGGTGGATCAAAAAGCGTGCTTTTACCCTTGGTGCAGGCTGTCATTATCTGATCCATTTATATGATTAAAATGACCTTCGCGAAACCAGGCTATCTTCATTATTGCATATCTTATCCAACATTACAGAAGAGGTCATTCAAGTCGACAGAGCGGCAGAAGAGACAACCAGAAAGGACATCGCCAGATTGATGAGAATGGAAAAGGCTCTTCCTCATTACAATTACAACGATAAATAATTCTACAGGGATACACTAATGCTTTTTAGAGAAGACCCTCAGTAACAATAAAAAGGTTTTATCTGCTTTTTTTTCTTTTTAATTAAAATGCTCAGCTGCCATCTCAGCTTTGTTCAGTGGCAAAATGCATTTCTGTGTCTGTTTTATACAGGACAAAATCCCTCAGGGATTCCAACAGCATTCCAAGGCAGGGAGGGACTGGGAAGGTTGTCTTTTTTTTTTTTTTTTTTTTTTTTTTTTTTTTTTTTTTGTAAAAAAAAAAAAAAAAAAAAAAAAAAAAAAAAAAAAAAAAAAAGTTCTAGGAAAAATATTAAACCC